TTTTTTTTGTAAATCTTTAACCATCCCATGTGCATCAATCTTCAATCATTCAATTTAGCTCAATGGGGCTGGCGGGATAGGTTATGATTGCTGACTCTGAAAGTCCCGAATTCGGACCCCGGGCTGATGAGGCTCGTTAGCTGGGGACCGCAACTAAAAGAAAGAGAACTCCGAAATGAAAACTACGGCTGTCTGGAGAGTTGCCCCTGAAAAGCAGAATGACTTCAGAGCCAGCGTGTCAGATAGCTAATAATATGTTGACATGTAATGATGAATTGTAATGTTGGAAAAACTTTCCAATATTACAATTAAGAACGAAGAAGAAGAACAATTCAAATCTTCAATCATTCAGTGTATCTTAGTATTCACCACTAAAATAGACAACACATAGATCATTTATTTCTGTATAACAAACTCAGCATTGAGTTCAATCAGCTTTAAATGTTTCCAGACATCAGTTGGAAAAATATGGGACTTTCACGAAGTTACGCTTATCCAAATAATAATGATAGCATCTGAACCCGAAAAAAACAACCGATGTCCATTTTTCAAATGTCGAAGTTTAGGTCTTTGTTTTCGCAAAAGTATTTTTGGTTTTATAAAACATTCCTAACACGTCCCCATTTCCACATGAAGAACCCTCTCCGAAACAAAAAATGAAAATAAATTAACACGATGATTATTCGTCCATTTCAGTCTACAATTAATTTAATTGGGAGTCACAACATGTAATAAAAACAACTCCAATCCAAATACAAGATAATCAAGCAACTGGTAGAATCTAATTACCCTCGAAGATGCACATTAATTAGCAGGTTAATAAACCGTAACTGTTTGTGTACAGAGTTTAACGAACCCTAAATCTCGCTGTGGTATTTTAAAATATGCGCACGTAACAGACGTCGAATGTATATATATATATATATATATATAAATAAATAAATAAATAAATATATATATCTATAATATAACGCTGCTGGTAGTGTGTCAGTCCTTCCTTCCTTCCTTCTGTCATCGCTATAGCTTTTGGAACCATAAAAGTAAACATTCGCACCATGCTGTGCTTTTCAGTGCACCGCAGTGTCTTAATATAAGAATTAGAGTAGGGTTTGTTTATATAGCGGCATAGAGCTATTTTATAATTGCCACGGTTTTTACTCTTTCGCATAACGTCAAGAAAATATTAAATACACGCAAACTGCTAAAACGTATTAAAAAGATTAATGTCAAATATCATTTTCGTTTAGGTTCCCAGAAAAAGTGGATACATTTTAATAACATAATAACAGTAGGGTAGAAAAATCAAATTAATTTAACTCTTTTCTAATTTTGACAAAGGAGGTAATTTAAAAATACATTAAACTCACGCTAATAAAAATGTGAATGCAAATATACGTTCGTCATAGAAGGAATTAGTGTTGCAATAATATAATTAGCAAAATGTGAATGCAAATTATTCGGATGTGTAAGAGGAAATTATTGTTAGAAAATTATAATTAGCATGGATTGATAAAAGGCAATCTTTTATTTATTTTATTCACTGAATGTAGGCCCTACTGTTTATTACTTATAATTTTTAATCAACTATTCAGCAGTATTATAGACGCGTCATCACGTTCATTAGGTGCGCAATGGTTTTAGTTATGAAACTCTATTGTAAATTTTTAAAATTTAAAGTACTGGAAAAAAATGCGTGAATGGATAAAGTGAAATATTGTAGGTAAAACACGGATATTTTAAATACTGCCTATTATTTATACTGTTTTCTAATTATTATTATATCTTTCGGGTTTTATAGGAGAGTCGTAGCGAGGGGGGGGGGGGCATATGTCCCCGGGTGACGACCCTAGGGGGCGCCAAAGTGCGTTGGAAAAAATTTGCGAGGGGGGGTGGAAATCGAAAGTTTTAGGGCGGGTGGGGGGGGGGGGGGGGGAAGGGGTGCAAATCGAAAGTTTGAGGGGGGTGCAAATCACCGGAAAGGGCGCGATTTGGCGCTACGGGCTAGACTGTGAGCAATATGCCTTTATGATTGCATTGAAATTGTGTTTATGTTATGAGTGTTGTGTTTGTTTTTTCGTTTTTTTTTTGCGTTCGTTTGTGTTGTGTTTAGTTTTGTTCTGTTCCCAAGTTGGTACATTTAAAAAAGATTTACCGTGGCGGAGCACGGGATGCAGCTAGTATATATATATATATATATATATATATATATATATATATATATATATATATATATATATATATATATATATATATATATATATATATATACATATATATGTGTGTGTGTGTGTGCTTGTTTGCGTGTGTGCGTGCGTGTGTGTGTTTGTGTGTGTAATATATATATATATATATAGGTAGTGGTGCAAAATTGAAACTTCGTCCATGAATGTTTAAAGTTAGGTTATTGTGAGGGTGGGGATTTTTAAGAAGGCGAAACGAATGAATCCATTAACACAGTTCACGTTTCAAATACAAAGTTCTTTATTAAAATTATAAATCAATTTCCTATCTAACTAGCCTGTTAGATACTATCTACTACTACTACTACTAACTCTACTAACACGCCCTTCCATGACCAATCCTACCACTATCTACATTCTAACTGTTCTCTACATAACTACGTCTGCTCCATTCTACAACCTAACACCTTCTGCCCTCGCTAGCTAATCATGATCTCCGGCCTAACAGTGGCCCACGCTTCAGTGGTCAGCTGACCGTCCCACGTGACCGGTCAGCCCTGTGCGCCCATTGGCCTCTCTAACCAACCAACTAGGCCTATAGTCTGTTTCTGCTAACCTATATCTGCTAAACATGTCTGACGTAATCTAGCGTCATCACAGTTATTTTGAGTTAAAATTTTGATGCGTGTGTTAGGGTTAAATTAAAGACCTAGCTAGTTCCTATTCTTTTAAAATACACAACTAATTCCAGCGGCTTGAAAACTTAAAATTTCAGTAATGCTTTATTTGAAAGAGACTTATCATCAAGAATTATCAACAACTATTTCCTTTCCTGCCGAAGACACGCGGTCAGATGAGGCCTAGTTCATCTTTTTCAATAACCTAACATACATACGGATCATGTGGTCTGAACTATACCCAGCTGCTTTTGTTTCCCTAACGTGAGTCAGGTACCCATCAGAGCTGGGTAGACTCAACAGTTTGTAGTCCGGGATCCAACCTCTAGACTTTCATGTTAGCAGTCGCTAGCTCTACCATCCCACCCAACCGTCGAAACCACACATAGTTTGTTGAAAGGGAGAAACTTCCACATAGTGTGTAATAAAGATGTCTAATAAAGTAAAGTTTTAAAAAGTTAAACTCCCCTACGAGGTAGCCTGCGAAGGAGATTAAGCAATTTATTACCAACAGGGACTTGTTGATGAGATAATGTGTCGTAATAAGTGATGGGTACCAACATAATGGAAGAGAATGGGGGTTTAGTAGGGGGGTGCAATGTCATATAAAAATTGTGTCGTGGTGTTTAGACGTGTGAGAAGTGTGTGTGTGTGTGTGTGTGTGTGTGACAGTGTTTGAGAAAAGTGGTGTGTGTGAATGTGTTTGAGGAAAACGTGTCGGTGTGTGGGTGGGTGTGGGTGTATCTCTCCCTCTCTCTCTCTCTCTCTCTGTGTGACGATGCTTAATTTATGTATTTAATAACACCTCAGTGTGTACGCTGCGTGTCATTATTTTGTAAAATGTAGAAAGTAATAAACCGGGAGTTATCTCACCTAAACTTTCTCGAATATTCTTATAGAAAACTAAAAAGGATGGGAACTCGGGATATAGAAATCATTTTTAATCCATCTTAAATACTTAAACTTTTATAATGGAATAGAATCTCGTAAAAAAAAAGAATTGCACACCAAGTGAACGCCAAATAAATTTTGTGCATAATAGTGCGGGATATTATCAGTACTTTATAAATTCACATGCGTTTTTTTTTTTGAGAAATCGGAAATAACGTAAATTACTACTTCGGGTCAACGGAAATTACTCAAAATTTCATTTATCTATCTGAAACAGTACTCAAGTTATAGGCTTTTGAAAAATTCAAAGTAGAAAAAGTACCACTTCCGGTTATCGGAAATCGCTTAAAAGTTGAAAGGGATCTACGATTTTGATAAAATACTTATATATGAAATTTCATCAACCTAGCTGTAATGGTACTCAACGTGTTTACAGACACACACACACACACACACACACACACACACACACACACACACACACACACACACACACACACACACACACACACACACATATATATATACGGAAAAGATTGCAAAATTATGTTTTTCCGACTTAGGGAGGTGTAAAACGTCGAGATTTGCAAAAATGTCGATTTTTTTTTTTGCACGATTACAAGACTTCCTCTATACTTCGTATATACGAGAAAGTAAAAATGTACACGTAACTAGATGCTACTGTAAGTATACACATGCTACTTACTGCTTGTTACTGACTGCGTGCTAAGTGCTACTGTGTTCGTCCTACTGTCTAGGTGCTACAGGCTACCTGTTGTGCTAGTATTAGATACGTGCTATTTACTGTCTATATACTTTTAACTACGTGCTACTTACTGTCTATATACTACTTACTACATGCTACTTGCTGTCTATATACTACTAACTACGTGCTTCTTACTGTCTATATACTACTAACTACGTGCTATTTACTCTCTATATACTACTAACTACGTGCTACCTACTGTCTATATACTACTAACTACGTGCTACTTACTCTCTATATACTACTAACTACGTGCTACTTACTCTCTATATACTACTTACTACGTGCTACTTACTGTCTATATACCACTAAATACGTCTTACGTACTGTCTATATACTACTAACTATGTACTACTTTCTGGCTACGTCCAATTTACTACGTGCCTTTAACTACGTGCTACTTACTGCCTATATGCTACTTACTACGTGTCACTAACGGCGAACTTCTTCTTACTGTCTATATACCACTAACTACGTACTACTTACCGACTACTGTTCTTATTGGTCCAAACAAGCACTTGTAGTCAATCCTGGCATGTACTAACGGAAATGACGTCAGCATACCCATCACAACGACCAGACTCATCACTTTTAGCCACTTCGATGACGTCACAGCAATGCTCAGCTTTTCCATCGATGACGAAGAAAACACTTCTCCTTCCACGAAATATTAAAATTCCTTTAATCCCTAAAATTAATACACTGAAATTTTTTTAAAGAATTCGTCCAAACAAATAGTAATGGAGAAAAAAAAATTTTTTTCGAATAGTTTTTATAAAATTTAAAGACGATTTTTTGTGACTGTTCCAAATATATTCTAATTTTTTTTTTCTAAATATGAGCTTCCTGGACGAACAGTGACATAAATATTCTGTCTGGAATTTTTTGAATCTTAAAAAATTTCTAGCTTCTATTTTCCACACAGTGTTATATATTATATCTCACTAATTAAACATACACGTGTTTAATGACTCATGTAAAATTAACCGAAATCTAACTACTCAACATTCCACCTCATTAACTTATCCCCTAACCAAGAATCGAACTCCGAATAGTCTAGCGGGCGTAATGGCCTCTCCACAGTTTTATAGGATACTCCGACGACTAAACCCCCCACGCAGTCTCCACTCTTCCACACGCCGGTCACACTTTTTATTTTCCCGGAGTTCTGGAATTTATCTCTAGAAACCCGGCGACATAAAACACGTGGGGAGTTACCCGGTGAACTGGGGAATTGTGGGTAAGTGAATCCAGCCAATCAAATCGTCGCACGCAAGACTTGGATTAGAAAGTGGGGTGGGGGGGGGAGGTGGAGGTGGGGGGGGATCTTCTTGATCTCCATTGTTACCAAGACTTTTGATTCTTGCTTGTATTAAAATACTTTAAACAAGAAACTGCACATTATTTAGTGTACAGGGAAGCTGTGATTGGGGTTACGCGTAGTGTAATAATAAAAACAGGAGATGATAGTATCCTTTTAAATTAAATACAAATACATCCGATTTTGAAAACATCCATTTTTCTTGGTCTTGTCTGTAATCAAAAACTACCTGGTTTTATTATCAGTGTCTATAACGTAGAAAAAATACAGAATGTGCAATAATATATAATTTAAAAAAAATAATATTAATGCTTTTTATTTAAAGACAAAATGATTTATTATTTGTGTCCTCTAAATGTCATTTACATATCTTTTAAAGTACTCTTCTTGCTTATTTATTGAACAAGGCTACCAGATATTCAATAGTATATACATACATACATATATATATATATATATATATATATATATATATATATATATATATATATATATATATATATATATATATATATATATATATATATATATACTAGCCGTCCCGGCCAGGCCCTGCTCTGGCTTCTGTGAAAAACCTTTCTGTTAAAGACCATTACCTGTGTGTTTAGTAATCATCATAAACCCGGCATTGCCCACCCAAACCACAACCAACCAAAACCAAAACAACAAAACGCAAACATAACGCTAACACAATTACAAATACAAACGAAAACAAAAACTTAACAACAAACACAACCACACCCACAAACACCAATACAAACACAAAGAAAAAACAAACAAAAAAGCAAACGAAAACAAAAACCTAACAACAAACCCAACCACAAACACCAATACCAACAAAAAAAAAATCAACGAAAAAAGCAAACGAAAATAAACCAAATCCAAACGCAAAACCAACCAAAAACACAAATACAAACCCAAACAAAAAAAACACAAACAAAAACGAAAAAAGAAAGAACAAAAACGAACCAAATTAAAACGCAACCACTAACGCAAACCCACCTAAACACAAAGAAAACACTAACGCGAACATAAACGCCCGGGGCGGAATCACCTGTTTTAGCTTAATGAACGACTATAGTACCCCAACTTATTCACAGTCTTTTGCACTCACTTAAACGAACGCGCCTTTTTCAATTTAATAAACAATTTTAATACTCCAAGCTTATCCGTAAAATACCTACAACATTTGCACTTGATCAATCCCCGCTAATTATGTAATTATTTTTTTTCCCAACACCAAAACAAAGTAATTAAAAAGTAAATTATTTTCACGGAATGCAATGGTTTTATAAAGGGAAGTAATTGTGTTTTTCCTAATTTATCAAAGGGAAGTAAGTGCTATAGGACTAAATAAAGACATAATTAGAATTTTTGTAAAAGATGATATTTTTTTTAAAACTTGTGTTTAATGAACATGCCGACAATTATTACTATAATTTGAAAAATGAAAATTATTTCCCAACACTTTCAATAGTAATTTTTTAGCTCATAAATTTAGACAAATGCGCACGATAATTTTCTAACACTTAAATTCGTACAATTCCAACGACATACAAATGCAATACATACAGAACTGAGCTTTATATATTAGACTAGCCGTCCCGGCCAGGCCTTGCTCTGGCTTCTGTGAAAAACCTTTCTGTTAAAGACCATTACCTGTGTGTTTAGTAATCATCATAAACCCGGCATTGCCCACCCAAACCACAACCAACCAAAACAACAAAACGCAAACATAACGCTAACACAAATACAAACGAAAACAAAAACCTAACAACAAACCCAACCACAACCACAAACACCAATACAAACACAAAGAAAAAACAAACAAAAAAGCAAACGAAAACAAAAACCTAACAACAAACCCAACCACAAACACCAATACCAACAAAAAAAAAAAACAACGAAAAAGCAAACGAAAACAAACCAAATTCAAACGCAAAACCAACCAAAAACACAAATACAAACCAAAAAAAAAAACACAAACAAAAACGAAAAAAGAAAGAACAAAAACGAACCAAATCAAAACGCAACCACTAACGCAAACCCACCTAAACACAAAGAAAACACTAACGCGAACATAAACGCCCGGGGCGGAATCACCTGTTTTAGCTTAATGAACGACTATAGTACCCCAACTTATTCATAGTCTTTTGCACTCACTTAAACGAACGCGCCTGTTTCAATTTGATGAACAATTTTAATACTCCAAGCTTATCCGTAAAATACCTACAACATTTGCACTTGATCAATCCCCGCTAATTATGTAATTATTTTTTTTTCCCAACACCAAAACAAAGTAATTAAAAAGTAAATTATTTTCGACTAATGCAATGGTTTTATAAAGGGAAGTAATTTTGTTTTCCTAATTTATCAAAGGGAAGTAAGTGCTATAGGACTAAATAAAGACATAATTAGAATGTTTGTAAAAGATGATATTTTTTTTAAACTTGTGTTTAATGAACATGCCGACAATTATTACTGTAATTTGAAAAATGAAAATGATTACCAAACACTTTCAACAGTAATTTTTTAGCTCATAAATTTAGACAAATGCGCACGATAATTTTCTAACACTTAAATTCATACACTTCCAACGACATACAAATGCATTACATACAGAACTGAGCTTTATATATTATATATATATATATATATATATATATATATATATATATATATATATATATATATATATATATATATATATATATATATTGATATATGTGTGTGTGTATGATATTTTTATTTAAAGACAAAATGATTTATTATTTGTGTCCTCTAAATGTCATTTACATATCTTTTAAAGTACTCTTCTTGCTTATTTATTGAACAAGGCTACCAGATATTCAATAGTATATACATATATATATATATATATATATATATATATATATATATATATATATATATATATATATATATTGATATATGTGTGTGTGTATGATATTTTTATTTAAAGACAAAATGATTTATTATTTGTGTCCTCTAAATGTCATTTACATATCTTTTAAAGTACTCTTCTTGCTTATTTATTGAACAAGGCTACCAGATATTCAATAGTATATACATACATATATATATATTGATATATGTGTGTGTGTATGATATTTTTATTTAAAGACAAAATGATTTATTATTTGTGTCCTCTAAATGTCATTTACATATCTTTTAAAGTACTCTTCTTGCTTATTTATTGAACAAGGCTACCAGATATTCAATAGTATATACATATATATATATATATATATATATATATATATATATATATATATATATATATATATATATATATATATATATATATATATATATATATATATATATATATATTATATATATATATATATATATATATATATATATATATATATATATATATATATATATATATTGATATATGTGTGTGTATGATATGTGTGTAGGTCACCACTAGATATTAAGGAGGGACAAAAACCATGGGTCACCACTGGAGATACTGGTAACTAGAGGGTGACACAAGAACTGCATATACAGGTTGGAACTAGATGGTGAGAAAAGAACGGAGAGTCACCATTGGATATTACGGAGTGTCACAAAAATGATACGTCACCACTTGAATAACAAACTCTACTTCTTCAAAACCACAAAAGCCCCAAAACCTTTTCCTTTTTTTTCCCTTTATTTCTGGTTTTCGGAATATCAAATTAAATAAACTAAAAACAAGCTTTTATTAGCTTTATAGGGCGATAAGATTAGCTGTCATAATAAAACTACACTAACTAAACAAACAAATCAGGATTTTCAAATCATTTCCATTTGCCCAATAGACCCAATCGTGTCATTTTTTTTCCTGGCCATTTTCTGGTGTTATGTTTGGCCAAAATTGTTATTTTTTTTCTGGTCGTGTGGTGGAACAGACTACTTCCGGTCACGTGGGAAATGACAGGAACTGGTTACTTGTTGTTTACGAGGGGGATAAAAAAAAACTTTTATCTCGCGTCTTCTATTTCAGGCGTTGTTCAGGGGAAGACAATTGGCTCTGTTGTTCGTCACACATCTAGTGTTTCTTTCAGGCATTCCCCCCCCCCCCCTCGAACAAAAAAGATTTTCTGTAGAATATATATACATACTGTTACCATTGTCCGCCTCACCCCCCATACCCCTCCCAGAAATTTTGGTCCTCCCACTACGAAAGTTTCAAGTGCTCCCCACCCCCCCCAGAGAAAAAAAGTCTGAAAGAAACACTTCACACATCCTTGTGTTATTCTTGAGGGACGAACTCAACAATTGCAATTAAAAAAATAAAAACATTCAAATTAAAAAAAATGTGTGTGACTGTGTGAAGAGACGGGGTGGGGGGGGGGGGGAATAAGAAAATGTGAATACGGATTTATTTTGTTGTTTTTTTACAGGACAAAAATGAGGAAAAACTTGTTGAATATCGCTAGAGTTACTGTTA